GGAATCCTAGCTGAAAACTTCATACTTGACTACCAGTAGTTGTGTAAGGAGCCGTGGAATCCTAGCCTCTAACTTCATACTTGACTACCAGTAGTTGTGTAATGAGCCGAGGAATCCTAGCTGAAAACTTCATACTTGATTACCAGTAGTTGTGTAAGGAGCCAATCATCCTAGCCTAAAACTTCATACTTGACTACCAGTAGTTGTGTAAGGAGCCGTGGAATCCTAGCCTCAAACTTCATACTTGACTACCAGTAGTTGTGTAATGAGCCGAGGAATCCTAGCTGAAAACTTCATACTTGACTACCAGTAGTTGTGTAAGGAGCCGTGGAATCCTAGCCTCTAACTTCATACTTGACTACCAGTAGTTGTGTAATGAGCCGAGGAATCCTAGCTGAAAACTTCATACTTGATTACCAGTAGTTGTGTAATGAGCCGTGGAATCCTAGCTGAAAACTTCATACTTGACTGCCAGTAGTTGTGTAAGGAGCCGTGGAATCCTAGCTGAACACTTCATACTGGACTACCAGTAGTTGTGTAAGGAGCCAAGGATTCCTAGCCTCAAACTTAATACTTGACTACCAGTAGGTGTGTAAGGAGCCGTGGAATCCTAGCTGAACACTTCATACTTGACTACCAGTAGTTGTGTAAGGAGCCAAGGAATCCTAGCCTCAAACTTAATACTTGACTACCAGTAGGTGTGTAAGGAGCCGTGGAATCCTAGCTGAACACTTCATACTTGAGTACCAGTAGCTGTGTAAGGAGCCAAGGAATCCTAGCCTCAAACTTCATACTTGATTACCAGTAGTTGTGTAAGGAGCCGTGGAATCCTAGCTGAAAACTTCATACTTGACTGCCAGTAGTTGTGTAAGGAGCCGTGGAATCCTAGCCTCTAACTTCATACTTGACTACCAGTAGTTGTGTAATGAGCCGAGGAATCTTAGCTGAAAACTTCATACTTGATTACCAGTAGTTGTGTAAGGAGCCGTGGAATCCTAGCTGAAAACTTCATACTTGACTTCCAGTAGTTGTGTAAGGAGCCAAGGAATCCTAGCCTCAAACTTCATACTTGACTACCATAGTTGTGTAAGGAGCCAATGAATCCTAGCCTCAAACTTAATACTTGACTACCAGTAGTTGTGTAAGGAGCCGAGGAATCCTACCTTAAAACTTCATACTTGACTACCAGTAGTTGTGTAAGGACCCGATGAATCCTAGCTGAAAACTTCATACTTGACTACCAGTAGTTGTGTAAGGAGCCGAGGAATCCTAGCTGAAAACTTCATACTTGACTTCCAGTAGTTGTGTAAGGAGCCGTGGAATCCTAGCCTCAAACTTCATACTTGACTACCAGTAGTTATGTCAGTAGTCGAGGAATCCTAGATGAAAACTTCATACTTGACTGAGAAGATGTAGAAAATGATTGATGGTTTATTATAACAACTGTGGATAAAATTTAAGATCAGAATAGTATATGTATTAAACCCAATTGACATTCACCAACGATCCATTCAAATATGAATAATTGAAATAATCATAAACACAACCTTTATTTTACCAGCGATGTATCACTGATATCGGATTTATATTGATAATTTAATATTCATAAATATAACTAAACATTCATGTACATCAGCGATATATCACACATTTACATAAAAATTAAAACAAGAACACAATTAAGATTTACGTATATTAGAACATTTATAAATGATCAAATTATTTATAAACATAATTCAGATTCATAGTAGATACATCACCCATATTATAACATTTATAAATAATCTAAACATTCACATGTTCAATTTGGATTCACAATAGTTATATCGCTCATATTAGAACATTAATAAATGATCAAAACGTTCCTCTACATAATTAAGATTCACCATTCACTATAGCACACTCATACATTAGATCAATTAACATCATCACTCATATAGGATATATATAGATAATTATAACATTTGTAGACATCATTAACATTCACCAGAGGTCTGTAATACGTGGGACAACGATGTGTTATTACATACCTCTGCCTCTTTCTACATACGTAACATGATTTGGTGACAATCAACGTGAGATGATGCTACCAATCCCAAATCTTTTGTCGGTGGGGAGGTACATTGTAAGAATGCTCTACAAGAGATGGTGTTGCTGCAGGAATTAGGTTACGGGGACCACCGTTAGTTACAATGATTTGGTAACTAGGCGTGTTAATTACAGGCTAATGTTTTCGTTTGTCGACGTCATATTCATTTTTCAGTCTAGACAAAACAATAGCACACATATGAATAAAATAATATCCCTGGTAATGTGGTTTAATGGAGGTATAGGGGTACTTGTAGAAACGTTCCTGTAGTAATATTATGCATTCTTACATAGTTTCGGTTTAATGTTCTAAGTAAATTATAAATAACTATTATCATTATTGAAAAACAAATGTATTGTAATGGATACGTTTGTCGAGTTTTGTCTAGTTCATTTCTTACTTATCCAATAAGTGAATACTTATCTGTGCTTCTATTACAATAAAAATCATTTTCGATGTCCAATCTATCTTTATCATATCAAATTATTCACCATATGAATTACAGAAATATTATATTAATATATACAAAGTAAACCTATATAATGATAAGTGCTGCCACTCAATGTGCAATTTACATGAAATATATCCTAATTTCAATTTAGGTATAATTAATATTGCTGTATTTCTTGTATCACACAGAGGATCATTTGTGTACCAATGTAAACAGTATAATATGTTCTGACATACACTGTATGTAAAGACACAGAAACGTTCAACAATCATTAGTCCCCAATTGTGAACAGTGTAAACCGTACATCATACGCTAATTAGGCTAGTATACTATGTTAATTGATGAACAGTCAGGGTGGTCATAGCGGTGGTATACATACTTGCAGTGACTTATCTGTGTGATTTATGTTAACTGTCTTTTAGAGAGGAGGACTCAAATCATAATGATATTATGCATTCAAGTAAAAAACATTTAAGCTACTTGATATTTTTAATCAGCTTTATATTAAAACGAATGTTGAAATGGGTTTTGTTTTACCAAACAATGTAACATATGGTGAATAATTATAAGAAATCACTGAAAAAGGAGTCATGCTTAAAATATCCTTGCCCAAGCACAACCATCACTAACAAATATGCGACTTCAACAGTAGCAATCACGTGACCATATAATCATTCATGTGATCAATCATATGATTAGTCATGTGATCTTTGAATGAACCACGTATTCCCGAACGTATTTCAATGTGTTTGTTTTATCTCATTTCTCAGTGGCCCCCGAAGGAGATAAAAGTGACATGATTCGGAAAGGTGAATAACAGACGACATCATTTCTTTCTTATTCCTTCTGTCTTGTGATCCACCCGGCTTTAGTGATTCTTTAGTTCAGTGTTCATGTAGTGCTCTGTTTCTTTGTTTGTCCTCACCAGAGCTCTCCACTGATTGGCCATTTGTGTGCTATTGTTTCTCAACCTGTAATAGATATAATCTTTCACGAAGGGGTACTATTTTTTTCAGTATTTGTTTGTTTTCTGTCATTACAACTGATGTTCTCCGAAGTATTGTAACAAATGGAGTATTGTATTTTATTGTTATTGTTTAAATGTGTTCCTAAATACCACACTTGTAGAACGCTAGCTTTAGTAATGGCTATGACCACTCTCAGCTATACCCCAGTGGAACTTGTACATAAACAAAGTTCTAATGATCCTATGACATAACCTCATACATACCCCATATTGCACTGCCCAGTGACGTAAAAGTCTACAGCGGCCTACGTGTTTTGTCGTCTATCCTCTCTCTCAGTGCCCGCTAATCAGCACGTTCCTGTGACCTTCACATTCTTGGTCAGACTGTCCCTTCTACTTCAAATAACGTTGTTATTGACCCTTTCAGGTACAATTCTTTCTCTATGTCGCCCAATCCTAATGACAGAACCATATTGTTTCAGCAATGATTCTGTTTCTGGACTTGGCATGTTTCGTTCAATCTAATCTAATTCGTACATTAGCGTAGCTTCATTTCGATCTTCTCGCCCAAATATATTGGAAAGGACACACAGGCCACCGAATCTGCAAGGATAAGGCAATCGACGCCCTAAAGCTACACACTACCAAGGCCTTCGATTAGGTGTTACTTAACAGGTCTGCAGAAGTTTAATTTCAAATTCTGACTTTGTCCTTTGCTGTTGCTGTTTAATTCCTTTTGTTTGTGCTATTTTGAAATTATGTTACGTAAACATAGTTAAAACATATTGCATGACATTTCCCGTACACAAATCGATGTCTCTTTGGCATTTCCAAGTCGATTAAAACCAATAAGTCTACAACGAAAACCTTTAAAGATACCCAAGGTTGAGTGAAGGTCAGACCAGTACTAAGTGAAATGTCCAAAGCAGCATTAAAGCAATAACCAACATTTTATGTTATGGAGTGCGGAATTATAAGTAAGCAGCGATATATTGCGTTCTTCGTATTTGTCCATCACATAATTTGCAGCAGGAATATATATCCTTACGATCTATTAATTCATGAAAATCCATGAGACCCTCAACACTTACTGACCTGTGCCGATGGGCCGGTCTATATAACCGAGTTATCGTCACATTAACTCCACTCTGCATGCCTCCGTCACTATCGTCTTCAGTTATATTTACTCTTTATTTCATTGTTTTTCACATAAGCTTTAACTATTCCCCTAAACGCTTTGTATACTGCACATGGGTCAGTGTTTGTTTACAGACTTGACCATCACGTCCAGCAGCTTCCGTGACGGATTCTGCTGTACTTGTTCTAATATCACCAATACAATGCAGCCAAGTGACTATAGTACTTGTAAAAAGGTAGGAAAATATCTGCGGTTTAAAACAAACGATAGTATTGGGAAAATAATAACACTAATTTTGGACTATGTTCCTTTGACATGAACTAGCTTCTAATGATTGTTTATTTCCACATTTCAGAGCGGCCGACCACAGCCAAGCCAAGTATGTACCGCTTGCACGTGTAGGAACACCCTTCATGTAGACCGTATAACCATCGCATTAAATACTTACAGTTTAAAAAAGAAAATCATTTCCGGTCTAACTCATTTAGACGTTTGTGTACGCTCGATTGGAAGAGACATATTATCAAATAACGTAAACGTTTCACTGAGTTAGATTGACATGTGATCACATGACCATCAATGTCATGCTGTCTTAGATCACAATAGTGCATTGATTCCCGGAAGTGCTGTGACGGGTAGCTTTTTAATCGCTTATTACCTGCCTACTACAAAACTATTTCACTTTGATTTGAAACTTGGCCATGTAGGTAGATAATTAGCATGTCTTATTCATCTAATTTTATCAATTATTTCCTAATGCAGTCAAACGGCCGACACGTTAAAATATACAATTGTTTTCCTATTTGTTGATTTGGAAGTTAATAAGAAACATGTGATAGGTTGTTTCATGTGTGCAGGATGTAATTGAATTGTTAAAGGATGCATTTTCGAGAATTAACGGAATGCATTAGTATTGTAATGGTGTTAAGTGGTTTACATTTGTGATTAACGGAGTCAATAGGAGTGTGACTAACAGTATTTACTACTTATACACTTACTGGTGAACACGGAGAAGGCGGATATCGGCAAAAAGAGGCAGTGTTTATACACGCCACTAATCAACATAGCATCATAATGGAAAGATTCCTATCGAAGTGAAACAGGCTTTACATAATCTAACAGTTTTAATCAATATAATGTAATATGTAACTAAGAATTCGATAAGAAATAGACCTGCAATTCCCAATGATAATCACCCATCTCAATATATAATACTGTAATCAGTGTAGGCAATCACAAAGACGTCGGTTTGATTAGTAAAGAGATGTATTATCAAATATACGTGAACAATTAAGCTTTTAGAACCGTATTTGAGGACACGTTCACTGCATGCTATCTGCTATAAGCTGATAAAGACATATCGGTAACACAAATTATGTTCATTTAAAAGGCTGGGCGTCAACCATCACATACAGTGTACCTGCCACGCTATTCTTATATATCTAAAGGACGATAGATAATCAAACTGACGTCTTTGTTAACGTGTATGTATTATACTCAGATCACCCACCTCTATAACATGAAAGGGTTTTATTACTTTTGCATACCATTACGTTGCATAGATGGCTTCTTTAGCATGCTTCTTCTCTACACTTTTGTGTCGGATCTGTTTATATGGATTTTTTTCAATCTGACCAAATTCTTCAATTTTCATTTCCTTCCTCGTACACTAATCAACAGGTTAAGTCCATAGTTATATGTCCTTCGATGTTTCAGCCGTTTCAATGACAGGGTCAAAGTTTGTGACCAAAGGGGAGACAATCAGTTTACAGTGCAATGCAACGGGCTCATATCATGCCCCGGATGACATAGACTGGTTTAAAGATGGGAACAAATTAATCCCAAGTGTTACGAACAATATAAAAGTTAATACTGAGCTCAAGTATGAGGATCGGACGCTTACCAGTATGTTAGTGGTGAAGCACTCTAAGTTAGAGGACGCCGGGATTTACGTGTGTCGCAGCACAGACCTGGAGATCGCCAGCAATCATGTTCACGTGCTGGATGGTAGGTCAAGGTCATCTTTTCTTTCTTTTAATTGTTTCGCTGCTTTGCTATGATCATTTTGCTTCTCATGTCATTTGCTATTTCCTGTCCTGTAGTACAGTGTATCTACAGCTCTAAGCGACGAACAAATGGCGCGTAACAAGACTACGGACGACCATGGTGAAAGTAGCGTGACGAATATAGAAACATATACAAAGGTACATGACGAATATAGGAACATATACAAAGGTCCATGACGAATAAAAGAACATAAACAAAGGTATATGACGAATAAAAGAACATATACAAAAGTACATGACGAATAAAGAAACATCTACAAAGGTACATGACGAATAAAAAAACATATACAAAGGTACATGACGAATGAACGGACGAACGGACAGTGCGTATCGACCAAAGATACGAATGGAAAGACATAATAGTGTATGTGTAGTTTACTGGAATACATCTATCAGAGAGAGAAAAAAAACTACAAGTACGAATATTAAGGTAAATGTCGATCGAGTTAAGAGTGATGCCAGGAACTTTTGATGGTACCGGCTCTTTACACTTAGCAATTATCGTAGATATACTGAAGGTGGGCGTGAACTCGTCAGCTGTACGGAACATTGTCCTAATGGATGTACGTCATAACTGGTCACATGACGATGGTACAGCGCCTGACATTTACATCTTAGTATTCACTGTAAAGTATGAATTTTCTTCTTTTTTTTTATACATCGCATCGAAAGTTAATGTAATGGGAACGGTAACGTAGAACCTTTGTTTTACGCGTTGGAGGAGATCCAGGTTTTTGCCTATATTCGTGTGAAGTCAACTAAAGCGACATTGACGAAAACATTAAAAATTTAACTCATTTAGTTTCGAAAAAGTACTCCCGAAGGAAATTTGACTAAAAAGAGAAAAAAAGACAACAGTTTTATGACAGAAAATTACATCACTGGCTTTCTTCGACGTCCGCTTAAGGTAGGCAGTGTATAGTGTATTATATATTTCGTTACACTTTTATATCTTAATAATTTATTGTCAGTTTGCAGCTGAATATGACATTACTTTTCCTACTTTTTGTTCCTCCTGTTTGACTATCATGCACAACTGCACCTTGATCATATATCTATTTATATCTATTTATATCTATATATATCTATATATATCGTGCACAAGCTTCTCCCATCAATATACACATGTAAAGCACGCGCTCGGTAAGAATGTATACTATTATGCTAGTCTGTTAGCCGACTTAAAGTATCTTAAAATCCTACCTTTATCACTAAATTAGTATCGCAACAAGTGACTTTTTAGCACACTTGAGAGGACACAAAATTAAAGTATTACTATTATAACGTTTCAAATTAAAAATGAATGTTATTAAAAGCAATTGATAGTTATAAAGAGCTTGTATGCAATGCATTAAACAATGAATGATGTGAATTGAAATATATCTGTACGCGAACACATGACATGATTTTGACAAATTACACTGCCACCGAAAATCTTCACCTTAATCACACTTATATATGAAAAAGACTCGGAGACGCTGCATCCTATACCAGTCGTGGTGTTGTAGTCTCAGTGTTGTGGTGATGGTCGTCACTGTGATCTTGTGCAACTCTGTAGTCACGTGTTTGTCCTTGAACGAACGCTTGGTTGAATGACCGAATTAACGGAAGACACGTGCATATAGACAACATCTTTCCAACAGTAGCGGTTTCGACCCAGCACGATACTTCCTCGGTAGAATAGACATGTGTAATTCGTTGTGCAGTATGAATGTATTAATATCAAATAACAACTGTCGAGAATTTAGAAATGAACTTCATGTATTTCCGCCTGTAATTGTATCTCGTAATTATGTATATAACATAGTCACTACTGATGTTTCACGTTTATTTTCCAGAAGGGGAATCACGTCATAACGTCAAAAGAGGTGAGTCGAATTTTCTGTTCTAGTGCAACATTAGGTATATCTCAGGATGGCGAGGTGTTCAGAGCAGAAAAGTATTCTGCTAAAGTCGGATTAACAAATATATCTTAAGTTGCATATATATGTGTATAAAGTAAATTGTCACTTTGGCTTGGGTTGGCATTACAGTGGAGGTTCTGTTACAGTATAGAGTCTATAATTTTAGGCAATTTTGTCTGGTATATCGTCATGACAATAGCTAGAGTCAGGAATCTATTCTCCTTCTTTCATTTATTTTTCTTTCTTTATCCATACGGGTTGAAACAATGTATGCTTGTTAAGTGAAGAAAGTGTATAGAACTGATAGAAACCCCTTAGAAGTTAAATACAAGTCCTATCTTGGCATACGACATATTTGTCCGCGAGCGTTCCCGGCATAGAAGCCAGGCCGGCGGTCGGATGGAGACACCGAAGCTAAGCTTTCGGCGTTTAATAAGACCTTTTCATTGACATGGCTCTTCAACCCCTTGTCATTGCTGAGTGGGGACTGTATGCCGTCGCATTTATTGAAAAAAATAAGAAACAAGGAAATGAAAACTGTTCATGCTGTGGAAGTGTAATTGATTCGATCCTCTGTATAGGCAATTCCCAGAATTATTAATAACTGAACCCAGACTACTGCTGGCTGACTGATTATAGCGCCTGTACAAAGGGGCTGACCGCCATGAGGAGGGCACCATGTGAAGGCTGCCAGTTCTAGATAAACTTACCGCTACCGAGAAAACCTATTCGATATTGCAAGGTAAAATCAATTATTCTCTCAAAAATATATATACATATGCTGTCATCGTGTGTCCCGTGTTTGGATCAACAGACGTTGTCAGAAAGGGCTGCACATCCAGATCTCGACTCTCGCGCTACATCTGTGTCAAACAAACACCCTCTTTCTCCTGTTAACGAAATCTCACGTATGGCAGAGCAGGACGGCCATTCGAGTCGAACACCAGAAACAGCTACCTTTTGTTTGAGATAAGAGAGGAGAAGGAGACGGAGAGACAGATACTCTGTAGCCAATACCACGTAGTTAGAACAACATTACTCCAATGGGAATAATTCGAGAAACTGACCTTTGTATTTAGGACTCGCTACGTTCTACCATTTTCCGTATCGATTCTATATCTTGATGGGTATAATGAATTTATGGTAATCTTAACAAAACTATTTCTAAATATCGAAAAGAATCTTCAGCATGCTGTGGTTCATTACAATTAACATTGTCTCATAATGTTCAGACTACGTCTCGGTGTTTTATATAAATAACTGCTGTTTCTTTTTCTCGTAGGCTTTTACTTAAAGGTATATGCTGAGCCTGTATAAATGCAAAACATAATCATATCTCTATCTATCACAATACCACATTATTTTGTAAAGGCGACAGTATTAAATGTTGGTAACAAAAACACATATGACTTGTTAACCTTATGGTTTAATTACAAAACGATAGTTTTTAATAATTGTGAAATGAGTTAGGGGGACAGACTGATCAAAGGAAAAGTCTGTGTTAACGGTAACTTGGACATCAGAAATATCGATTATGTTGAGGTATTTTTTTTACCTTTTTCTAATATGCTATTTCAGCATTGGCATATGTTTTTGTGGTTGGTTTCATCAGGAAATCTTCTTTTGAGAATCTGCTTTGATTCTCATTAATTTTTCTCGCAAAATAATGGAGGGGAAAATAAAAAATTGTTACAATGAATTGGTAGAAATTTTAGTTTGATGTTTTCACCACACCTTGGGCTACACCATGCATATTAATGTCAACTGCACAACATATAAAACAAAACCAACTCAATGACGTCATAGGATGTCGTCATTTAAGGTTGTTCCCTAGTCACATATTGGCGTTGTGCGATGTAGCTATGCAACGCATCGCTTTGCACGTCCGATTGACGTGGGTTATGATCAAAACTATACAACCGATAAGATGCAAGTATTTAATAATAACAGCAAAAAATTACCTGTATTTTTGATATAATTTTACCCTACACAGCATTAAGACATACATAGCTGTATCTCTTTGGTTCATTAGTAAACTTAATCTCGACAATAAAATATTAGGATTACTGTACAAAGTGCATACATACATATCGCGATGAATAATGTATATGACGTTTACGATTTTATGTTAATGACGTATTTTAGAGCGATTTCTATCAAGTCACGAGTACCTTTATAGAAAGGTTTTATAATCAAATATATTTCGTCGTTAAACAAAGGCGACCGTCCGATTGAGTTATCTGATACCTGTGTCAGTGTCATTTATTGTTATTTTTTATCAACGTTTAACAAAGTAGTCAAGATAGCGAAATAGGAGATGACTGGATTTCGTGTGACAGAACGAGAGACAGTTGGTGGTGATATATATCGGAGGAAGCTATCGGTCATTAACAGTAATAAAGTACAATATCCTGTGACTACTGTTAAACTGTCTGCCTAAAAATATACCTCGCTCTTACAGACAGGATCTGGGGATGCAACGTCCCTTATCGCCTCATGGGACGAAAAATATTTCAATCGAAAAGACCTAATTCCTTAACTCTGCTGTCAGTGTAGTGGGCGATATGGATACTTAGTCGACGTGACTTCCTGCCCTCGTTCTATTGCTCGTGTCGGTAGTGTCAGGAGCTAAACCTTTTACATTGTTCTTCCATTTACATGCAGTCCCATATTTCCTTTCCCCATTTTATTAGGCGAAACGAGAATCAATTTGTCTGCTGACACATTACCAATGATTCTTGCTTGCAGAGACAGTAACTTTCCGTTCAATCGTGCAGTGAAACCCCATTGTAATGATTCAAATGGTGAAAATACGTCATTGCTTGCTCAAATGAAGTCAAAGCTTTAAGTATCTTTGTAATGAGTTTCCCTTCCTCGTGTGGTTTGTAATAATGCATAGTTTGATGTTAACATATGATACATAACCTATTGAGTAACGGTACATTCTGTAGCACCTCAATCCTTTATTACGTGGAATATAACCACGTGTATTACAATAAGTGTACACTTATAAGGTTTCAATCCTCAGGGCGATGTGTAGGGTTTCTCGCCAAACATATCACTGTTAATGTATAATCTAAATTAAAACGATGGCAAATATCAGCTTTGAATGCGAAATTCGTTAAATAAAACACAAACAATTTCAATAAAACCGAACCTAGATATTTAAAGGTATCCGGGAATGTAATCCGCTTCTATAATGTTACAAAAACATTTGTGTACTCCTAGTACACTGTACAAATAAAATTTAAAAAACAAACATAAATAGTTTTCATAAATGTGAAGGTATCCGTTTTTATAGTGGTACCAAAAAAGCAGTTTAGTCCTAATGCACTGATTATACTGTTCAAATAAAATAAAAAGTAGACATAAATTATTATCAAACCAGACTAAGACATGTGAGGGTAACAGCTGTTATAGAGTTAGGAAAATAGAAATGTTCTCCTAGTGCACTTATGACATTGAAAAAACAATATCAGAAAGTAGAAATAAGTTATTATAAAACCAGACTTAGACATGTGAGGGTATCAGCTATTATAGAGTTAGGAAAATAGAAATGTTCTCCTAGTGCACTTATGAAATTGAAAAAACAATATCAGAAAGTAGAAATAAGTTATTATAAAACCAGACTTAGACATGTGAGGGTATCAGCTATTATAGAGTTAGGAAAATAGAAATGTTCTCCTAGTGCACTTATGACATTGAAAATACAATATCAGAAAGTAGAAATAAGTTATTATAAAACCAGACTTAGACATGTGAAGGTATCCGCTAGTATAGTGTTATAGAAAACATCGACAGGTAACACCGAGCAAACACCATATTACACATATAAAGATGTAAGTAATTTTCATAAAACCGGACCCATATATGTGAATATATCCGGTGCGCTGGCGCAACGGGATAAATAAATTATACTCCTTGTATTATAAGTACACTTTCAATTAAAGACAAAATGTAGAAATGAAGAAATGAATTCGCAATGAACCACATATACATATGTGAAGGAGAATGTTACATCAGTGTTACAGAATATAACGACGGTGTACTCCGAGCATACCAAAACCTGTAGGAATTTAGCCGACACGTCAGCTCATCATGTAAGCCATCAGTGACATCTTTTCGGATACAACATGCAATGAAATCTGTGGCGTTAAACAGAAATCAAGTATTTACGTCAGCAGTTTGTATCCGAAAATGTTTGTATCCATTTCTTAAAATATTGTTTTCATTAAAACCTATTGAAACAAAAAGTAACGGTCAAACTTAAATATACAACATTGTCTATCATTATGACAAATTGTGAATGTGGAGATAAAGACAACAGTAACAGGTATCAAATAGTAGCATCGTATATTGAAGTATGGACTCACACGTGACCACGTCTTGATAATCAGCGTTTAGGAAATATTAACCTTATCTCATATATCCAACTAGAGTGTTGCTGACTCTTAAACCATTATGTTGATAAGCATTGCCCGTTTCCTTTTCACACATGAATCAATGATCGTACTGAGCAATCATCAAATCATTATTCTTACGTTTCATGTCATCAACACAGGGGAAATGTCACTGTTGTCATACTTAATGAAATTGGAAAATACAGCTTGGATGAAATGGATATTAAATATGAATATCTACAACACTTTTTTTGGCATCATGTTCCAGGATGCGATCCTTCCTTCGAGGGCATCCTATTTTCTCGATTTAAAAGTATCATGAAATTGACGTTCATAGTCAAAGCCTGCCTTAGCGGAATATCTCCAGAAATATTTGTCTTACTAAAGCACATGTATTGTCATTTTTGCTGATATCATTGATTTTTCCTTTTTTGTTTTTGGCCTTCTCTGTTCTTAAAACGTTTCTATGTTATTACTTGGTTCTGGCTGTTGTCGCCTCTTGTCAAATTTTGTTGAGGATTTTCCCTTGCCTGTTGACATTATGAAATATGAATTATTATGTTTCAAAGTTTCAAAACCGTTAATGCACAAATCAACTTGTTTAAAGAGCTCTCTAAGTTAAAGATACAGTGTATATCTCAGATAGCTTCCGAGGACAGATCTCACGCCAAAATGTTTTATATAAATAGCTGTTGAAGTCTTGACATATGTATTGCCTTCAAATGTGATGACAGCCATTCAGAAAAGAGGCGTGCATTTCCAAACAACTCATCAATCTCGACAGCCTGTATATAAAGCAAGGTTTATGTGTTCAGTGAAAACACTTTGCCTGTGAAGTGATGCCACATCTCACTTAACATGGCCTACTTAATCCAAACGTTGTCACGTAAAACACATTGCTCAGGGGAATTCAACTAATAAAGGTTCCCACATAACAAGCTCCCACACAGCGGGGCTCCCAACACAGAACGACGCATTTAACGGAAATGATTTATTTGGTAAGTCATCGTAAAATTGATGTTACATTCTTATGTATTTTTAAAAGTGCATTAAATCTCATTTCGGTAAAACACATATTCATTAATTCAAAATCAGTGTCTGCATTGCCAATCAACAGTGGTTCCGAGAAAGAAATATATATCAAACCTTGACTTATCATTAAACTGACTGCTGTACACGCGTATTGCCTACAGTGGTAGCAGGACCGATACAAAACTGGTCATTGAAAGTTTTAACGTTATGATATAACAAACACACTAGGAACTTTACAGTGGTACTCACAGAGAGTTGAACTTAGCTTCACGGTCGGACAAAAACAACCTTGTTTACTCAAACAGGTGACGATGTATTCATTTTGAAATGTGGCTTTGTTAATAACATAGGTTGTACATTAACAGGAGAGTTCTACAACACGGCTTCATCTCCACTTTTGAACTGTAATGTCATAGCTATACTTCGCGTTCGATTCTTTTCGCTATAATTTTCAAACTCAAACATATTAGAACAGAATGTTCAGCATCACACAATATAAGACAAAGAAAACAGAATGTTCAGCTTTGCACAAAGTTTTCACAAAACAACTAGAACGCAATGGTTAGCATCATACAAATGTTTGTAATCAAACAACTAAAACAGAAAAACGTAAAGACCCTCAAAGTGCCACGACTAGATGTCTGAAAAAGTAGGCCTTTGTGATAGAAAATAACTATGTTTTAAATTCTTCCGTGACAGTATATAAAGGTGTTCTTTTGTGGTATCATTTATCTTACACTGGAGCTAACTAAAATATAAGGCTCTACTGGGAACTAACTTCGACGAGAGATTGAAATGAGACAACCTCACTAACAAAGCATCCAGGATACTGTTAAATGTTAGAGATATTCTTACTCTCTCCAGGCCTCTCTTTGACAAATTAAAATGGATGCCAATAGCAGACTTTACGTTTTTAGAAAAATGGTTCTTTGTTATAAAATTTTACATTGTGAATCACCAGGTATTTTAGCAAAAATGTTTTCTTATGTGAAAAATGTTCAAACAGCCAGAACCAATTATCTCAAACGGTCATTTGTTCATACATGTTCAATCTTATGGAGCGAAGCTAGTAATACAATTAGAGACTCAGGTAGTGTTAGGGTTTTTAAAAGCAGATACCTGCAGCATTACTTCACAAAATCTTAGCTATATACAGTCGTATTTTTATATTTGTACAACAACTAGTACAACAAGTTTTAACTTCTAACCATTTTTTATGATATTCAATCTGTTGTATGAATAGCATACAGCTGTATCTGTGATTATCTCCCTTATATTGATATTTTGATATAGGAGTAGAGTTTCCTACATATTGTTTCTAGCTAAAGGCAAATGTGATTTGATAATTTTCTATTCTAAATTACTTTTACACCTCAGACTTCATTGTCTCATTTTAATACACACTATATTAGTGTATACCCTGTGTTATATTAGCATTGCATGTATATTCGACTATAATAGTGCTTTAACCATGTCATTTAGTAACACTTGTGTGATATGCAAGTATTCACTATTTAAATATATTTTTAGGATTGCTAAATTTTAAGTTACATTGACTGTGATGATACTATATTTACTACATTGTTATACTCTTATCTTAAATTGTGTCATGCTTGTATATATAGTTGATGCAGGGCCATATTGTAAACTAGATATTGTCTAAATATGTAACCCTGGTTAAAAAATATATATTATTATTATTGTAATTATTATTAACAATATATGAGTTCCATACGAGCCCTGTACCAAAGTGATGATTTACTATTCATTCGAGACTAACCTTATATTCATTATTTATGTATCCTCCGCGAGACTGATATCACGCGCATATAGCACGTGGTATACGTATACATTATGATGATAAAGAACTGTTTATTGACTGTCCTTTGTATTTATAAATTTGTCTTTTAATGCTCGCCAGTGTCCGGTATGAAGCTGAGCTTACACTCCCCTCTTGCATGCCTTGTGTTAGTGTTCCTGGTTATTGTCGGGTGTATCATTGGACTCTCCATACACGCTGTCATCTGTTTCTACATCTCCATCGACAAAATATTCTCTTTCTTCTTCGCATGACATTTCGATCGCACTTTTATTAATCGCGAGCTTTGCATGATAACAATATCTTCTGTCCACTTAAAACTGTATTTATATGTAAACGGTATCGGTGTTTAAGTAATGTTTGTATATTCCCAAAATTACATTTTGACAGAAGCAATATACATTCACGATTGATGTCTACAATGTGTCGGAATACAAAGTCAGATATTTTGTGACTTATTTTGTGATTTTGCCAAGGCGTTTTGCCTTCTATGGTGAGTGGAATGACACATACATGTATGAATTACGAGGATAGCGTCTTTAGTATTGTAATAACAAACTATTCACTTGGTATTCGCTTTATACCATTTTATACTTTTCTTTGTTAATGCTTGATAGATGGTTTTACATACTACAAAAAAATTGTACAGACATATCATTGAATCATTCAATCATCCAGGATTGCTAAAGCCCTGTTTCTCCGTGAATCTTTCCACTGATCTTTGAGACGCACACCTCACAGTTTATTTCGTTAACTGCTATTAGAGCGTACATATAGAGGCTGAACGTTGTTTTTTATTCATTGTTCAGGAATCATGAACTGTTGTGACTTTAAAACATTATGACAGCAATCCACGGGAAATTCTATCGGAATGGTATTTATATAAACACTTAACCTTCAGTCCCTTGAACATCATATTCAATCTTTAAAGTCACAGTTCGATGTTTAATTTGACGTCATGAAATTTAAAAATAGTAACAACAAGGATATATTTATGTTATTCATTTTTTTTATTATCTGTATTGGCGATAAAATTATCAAGGGTAATGGGTAATATTTCCTACATTGATGAAAAGACTAGACAGGCTTCCCATAGCGAACTTGTTTACGATCCTTCTGTTTTTCCTGCTAATTAAATGACTTTAAACAATATAAACTATATGCATTTCGAGCCTAGATTGTTTCATAGAATTAAACTGTGCATGTACCTGATGTGCGTGGTAGGCCCTCCCACCTCTGTGTGTCGTGTGTTGTGCTTGCCTCTTTGTGTGTAGCAGACTGTCCCGCTTATGTGTGTCGTGTGTTGTGCTTGCCTCATTGTCATCTGGGACGTGTTTTGAGGCTGACCCGCCTCTGGGTGTAATGTGTTGTGCCTTGCCTCTTTGTCATATGGTACGTGTTTTGAGGCTGACCCGCCTCTGTGTGTAATGTGTTGTGCCTTGACTCTTTGTGTTATGGGACGTGTGTGGCAGACTGTCCTACCTCTGTGTGTCGTGTGTTGTGCTTGCCTCTTTGTCATATGGTACGTGCTTTGAGGCTGACTCGCCTCTGTGTGTCATGTGTTGTGCCTTGACTCTTTGTGTTATGGGACGCGTATGGAGGCTGTCCTGCGTCTGTGTGTCATGTGTTGTGTCTTGCCTCTTTGTGTTATGGTATATGTTTGGTAGACAGTCCCGCCTCTCTATGTCATGTGATATGTTTTATAGACTGTCCCCATCTTTGTTTCATGTGATATGTTTAATAGACAGTCCCGCCTCTCTGTGTCATGTGATATGTTTGGTAGTCTGTCCCGTCTCTCTGTGTCATTTTATATGTTTGGTTGGCTGTCCCTCATCTGTGTGTCATGTAATATGTTTGATAGGCTCTCCCTCCTCTTTGTGTCAGATGATATGTTTCGTAGAATGTCCTCCTTTGTGTGTTATGTAATATGTTTGATAGGCTCTCCCTCCTCTTTGTGTCAGATGATATGTTTGGTAGAATGTCCTCCTTTGTGTGTTGTGTAATATGTTTGATAGGCTCTCCCGCCTCTTTGTGTCATGTGATATGTATTGTAACCTGCCCCGCCCCTGTGTGCCATTTGATATGTTTGGTAGTCTGCCCCGCCCCTGTGTGTCGTGTGATATGTTTGGTAGTCTGCGCCGCCCCTGTGTGTCGTGTGATATGTTTGGTAACCTGTCCCGCCCCTGTGTGCCATGTGATATGTTTGGTAACCTGCCCCGCCCCTGTGTGTCGTGTGATATGTTTGGTAGTCTGCGCCGCCCCTGTGTGTCGTGTGATATGTTTGGTACCCTGCCCCGCCCCTGTGTGTCGTGTGATATGTTTGGTAACCTGCCCCGCCCCTGTGTGCCATATGATGTGTTTGGTAACCTGCCCCGCCCCTGTGTGCCATTTGATATGTTTGGTAACCTGCCCCGCCCCTGTGTGTCGTGTGATATGTTTGGTAACCTGTCCCGCCCCTGTGTGCCATGTGATATGTTTGGTAACCTTCCCCGCCCCTGTGTGCCATGTGATATGTTTGGTAACCTTCCCCGCCCCTGTGTGCCATGTGATATGTTTGGTAATCTGCCCCGCCCCTGTGTGCCATGTGATGTGTTTGGTAACCTGCCCCGCCCCTGTGTGCCATGTGATATGTTTGGTAATCTGCCCCGCCCCTGTGTGCCATGTGATGTGTTTGGTAGACTGTTACACCTTTTTAGTTTGTTTCGTCTCTGTGTGTAATGTAATGTATGTAGCAATGCTTCTTTTCAAAAAAACTTAACTCAGAAATTCTGTGTACCATTTCCCTTTGTTTGTGTTACTTTTCAAACCCATATATAATGTATGTGTGTGACATTAGCATATATTATGCAACCTTTATATGTCATTTACATCTACGTTCCCCTACCTGACATTTCCTCCTTAGAAACAATATTTGTGGATTTACCTTTGCACGTGTACGTTAACATGTATGCGTGACATTTTACCTTATATTAAGCATATGCGCGAATTTTTCTCTTGACTTACATTGTAAATTTGACATTCAGCTACATTTACAATTAACGTCTGACCCTTTTCCTCATAAACAATGGATGTGTGACATGTCCTCCAAATTGAACATAGTATGTGTGACATTTCCTCCTCATATGTTCTAAGACGTTTTCCTATCGTAAACATTGTATGTGTGACATTCCCTTTCCATAAGCAATGGTTGTGTGACATTTTCTCTTAATTTACAAATTATGTGTGCTATTTCATCCTCACCATTAGGTTTTATGACATTTTCTAATCACAAACAACGTATGCGTGACATTTCTTCTCAGAAACAATGTTTGTGTGACATTTCTTCTCATAACCAATGTTTGTGTGACATTTCTTCTCATAATCAATGTTTGTGTGACATTTCTTCTCATAACCAATGTTTGTGTGACATTTCTGTAGCATAAACGATGTTTGTGTGGCATTTCTTTATCATAAATAATGTTGTGACATTTCTTCTCATAAACAATAATTATGTGACATTTCTTATTATAAATAATCTATGTTTGACATTTCTTTCCCATTTACAATGTATGGGTGACATTTTTTTTATCGTAAATAAGATATGTGTGACATTTCCTGCTCATCTACCTTGTACATGTGTAAAAATCTCACGATTGACATCACGAGGGATTAGATTGCTTTCCAGAGCACGCGATTTTCACATTTTTAACCATTTTCAAAACGATACCTACTTTGTCGATTTAAAATGCGCTACCGATTTAATACATTTGTATTTGCAAATCTATGGTACTGATACACTAAGGACACGATGAATCGAAGCATGTTTATCCGAAGTTGTAAGGTCCTATGTGTTGTAATTCTATTGTACAGTCTGTCTAATCTACTCCTAGATATTCCAAATTTCTGTCCTATCTAAGATATTTTTGTGAGCTAATGAAAACTATTTAAATAAATCCAGTGTACTTCCACATATTTACTTATCTGACCTGTATTCTGTTTCACACAGGCTATTGGATTAGAAAAGTTTTACTGCAATTGAAACTATATGCACGTGTTTGCATTATTTATATCTATTCAACTTTCAGTTTTATTCAGCTTATTAAAATACATGTTAATCACGAAATAATAAATATTTGTGTCCATTTTACATAACATTGTGATTCTGCTTGTTCGGACGATAAAAAGTGTTATATGTACAATGAGGCAACCCTCAGTCATACATAATGTATACCTGTGCACCTTTTGACTGCTGATTTCCCTACAAGGCACTGATAAACAGGTGTTGACAGGTGTCTGCTGCTGTTTTACAGGTACGTCCAATGGTGGAAAAAATCACTGCTGTATTACCTTCTCCAGCCATTTTGCAAGAATATTAGCCGTTTCATTGACATTTAATTATCTGATACAACAACTGGCGAAGACGTGACAAACACTATACGGACACCCAAAGGATGCTCACCTTCTCGTTCTCACTATAACGTCCATACAATATGCAAGGGAGCAGCAAGTCATCATTGGTTTATCTCCTCTGCGCTAGCTGGTTCATTTCGATTAAGCTATCAATACATTATAGTTCAGTTTAAGTGTTTATGATTACAAAGTAATAAGTTTATTTAAAAAACAATTGATGATTTTGTTACTCAAAATACCATATTAGCAGTCGTTATTAGATTTGATCAACTAAATCAGCTACTGGTTTGGAAATGAAGTTAAATTGTATGTCTAGCTATTGCACATTGATATTGATATACCGTATACCAACGCCATTGGCCGGATTTGTAAATTTGCTTAGATTTTTGTAAGCCGAATGCATTTTTGGAATTGGACAGTCTAACAAGGTTCAAAATGCATAAATAATGTTTATGTCGTAGGTCAGTATATTCAAAACACCTGACAAAAATCTTAATACTCACTGTGCAGTTTTAGTTATGTATTTTAGTAACTCCGAACAATATCTTTCAGTTCTATACAGACATATGGGGAGAGAGATATTAATACATATTATTTATATATGAGAAGTTTTATTGCGTTACGTTAAGTTGTTTATGAATTCAATAATTTATAACTTATTATGATAAATTGTAAATTTGCTTAGTTTTATGTAAGCCGAATACATTTTTGGAATTGGACAGTCAAACAAGGTTCAAAATGCATAAATGTAAACGATTATGTCGTAGGTATCTTAATACTCACCGTGCAGTTTTAGTTATGTATTTTGTATAAAACTCCGAACAATATGTTTCAGTTCTATACAGACATATGGAGAGAGATATATGTCTGCATATTATTTATGTATGAGTAGTTTATAATGCGTTATGTTAATTTGTTTGTGAATTCAATAAATGATAACTTATGATGATATTATTTTTCATGAAATGTTCTAGTGTATATGATACCGTGTGGAAACATTATCTATAAGATTTATATAATTATTGCCTTCATAGAATATGAATGAGGCTGTCATGTATGCGTGTGGTGTGTACTGACGTGCGTGTGAATGTGAGTGTGCAATATGTACGTATGTGTTGTAAAATGGGTAAATAAACGGAAATATATATTTACATCAAGTTTTGGTCAGGTTTTGATGAAAATATCTTTTATCGATTTCTATCAAGACATAATAGATTAATATCTGATGAAATGGAGGTATTTTGATCATTCAAATATTCGATACATTCAGTAAACACTACAGCGAGTAGCCCTTAACCAATACATTATAACAATACAAATGTCAGACAGTGCACACAATTACAAAAAACAATCCGAAACAGAAATGGAATCAATTGTAGTCCTGTTTTTAACCAATAAGAATATGTAAATCAAAATAGTGAAACAGTTCAACTGTTAAATCAATTAATTTCGTCCAAAAGTTTTTACTAGCTAATACAAAGCTGGCTCTTAACTGCTTTGTTATATTCAAAAATGCAAAGTTAACAGTCAATCCGTTTCAAATATTTCAACCGATAATACGAGATTAAAATATATAAATATGTTTAACACAAACACAATCACGGTTTGTACCAAGAATCAGAGTCAGTATTCGTGAAACCGTTGTCATGCTAAAGCATGGATTCTGTGCTCAAACACACATTCCGGTCGAGATGTCAGTTTTAAACATTGAAAACAGTTTTTCTAATTATTTTCCAAATCATTGACAAATTGAATACTCACCGAAACAAGAAACAAGGGTTTCAATCAAGAATCCGAGCTAGTACATGAGAGCGGTTTCGTGAATAAGGGCCCTGAAGATAAAATTGTTATATTCAAATTTGATTTTAACAAATTTGTTTCAAATGTACCCTGTAAAAGATTTAGACCTAATTTGATAACGCTCTTGTTCTAATTTTACATACTAAAGACATAACAGAATTAGATTTTTTGGATTATTAGATTTAAATATTTGTTAAATTAATTGTTGTTCTGCGACGAAAAAAACAACATGTGTCATGTAGTATATAGAGGAAGATGGTTAATTTGTTGATCATGTATATTTAACTTCACTAGGTTGATATCATCTATACAAGATATATACATTATATGACTACCACATGTAACTGATGTATGCTTAGGAACTTTGCTGGTACATGAACACTAACATGTATGTACATGTTATTGTAGTAATCAGAAAACTTTTAGAAAAGAGCGTTATTGATAAAATAACATTTTGTCCATCAGAACCTGACTATAGCTCTACAGCCATAACTACGTGTGTAACACATTTATCAAAGAGTGTAATGGTCATTATCGGTAAATGTCTGGTATTTTCATATTTATGACATTTTTAACCTCGTGTGATTTAGTTCCTGTTTATAATTGATCTTTTTAAACACATATTGTTGATAATAACGTTGTATGTATTCTTATGTTTTATATTTCATGTAGCTTGATATGCAAGTACGACGGTAGTGATACAGCCTATCTACAAAATGTGTTGTGTCAATAATATCAGTAGTGTTTCATCAATCATACTATGGTTAGTTAATTGTTATGGCACTTTGGTTCTCTTGTATACCAAAAATACATTTGTTTTATATAATATGATAGACCATATGACAAGTTTGATAACGACACAGAGCGCGATAATTGACCCCCTTCCATGAACATGTGAAAAACAATCATTTAACCCATCGCACGTGTACTGCCCTAGTGAGACGTTCGGATGGGTCACGTGATATGATCAGGTGCTCGGGAAGTGTATTTACTACCACGTGACAACCGTCGTGAGATCACATGTTACATTCACCGACAACGCCCACACGATATTACCCACTTCATACATGTATCATGTTAGTAAGAAATGTTTATATGTGAGATCTACTTATATATGTGACAGTTGTGTTAAAGTAGAGACTAAATACTGTTAAATTGCATGGTTACTTAAACTCGGAGCTTATTTGCCACTTTTATAAAAAAAAATCCATCAAATTATGCTCGAAGTATTGGTTTTGTAGCTTCTGAATTTACAAAATGTGTTCCTTTTTTGTCGACTGTTTATGAGCAATGTTGTTTGGTTGCAATTCCTTTAAGTAAAAAGATTTTATTTCAATTATTTCCTTGCTATGACTTCCATCAAATGTAATTAATTGGTCTGCTTCTGATCATTGAATAAGTTAAGTTATCTAAATCTTGGATCGGAACAGTTTATAATGAGTTGTCCCGACATTAATATTTCTCAAATATCTTTAATTTCCCACACAAACCGCTAATAATAAATGTTCGATAGAATCCTGGCGTGCGATGTCTGTTTCCTCTGTCACGTCTAATTCTGCTCACGCACGTGTCAATGCACGGCCAAGCGACCCGCCTGTCTGCGTGTGTGTGTGTTTGGACTGAAAGTAAATATACCTCAATATTACTGTACATGTTCGATACGCAAATATATTTTCTTATATGATGAGAGAAACGCATTATTGTAATTAGTTTATTTAAATATCAGTCAATGTGACTGGGCCATTACTATTTATTAAATTTGTATATAAAATGTATAATGATTTGTACGATTGAATCATCCTGAATTAAATTAAAATTTTTACTAATTTATGATTTTTCTTGTTTTTAATTATTTTGTCTAATGTGTTTACCAACTTCTTAACTGTGTTTAAATACGTGTTTGCCATGTATTCATTAGACTAACCTACATCAACGAAGCTCAGCGTCTAGTTTAAAAAAACAATAATTAAAGCATTTGAACAGAGTTTGGACAGTGACCTTTTCGTGATATATTTTTGCTTACACCTGCGTTTGACTGTTTCGTTTTGCTTTCTTAAAATGATATCTGTCAATAGGACTCCTGTCACGCGACTCGATATCCATTTCTCGTATCCGTTGTCTTTGTTCAATGCAGACCCCCGGTAAAATATCTCTATCACACATCTTCTGAAGGTCCCCGACTAAAGTGTTACTCGATGTTACTTAATGTTATTTTCCAGCACAGGTTCCCTAAAGACTCCTCCTAGCTGGACTTATAAGTGTTACTGTTGTAACTATAGTTACCGTCCTTGATGTGGAATGTGTGTCTTCTGATCCAAATAAATATCATCGATCCATTTTGCCAGCTGAATACATACTAGTATCTTGGAGCGTTTTTAGTTTATGTGTTCTGGACAACATCTATAGTCTGATAGCCTTAAATGTTGTCTGAATTTATGTCAATGGAATATCATCGCCTTTGCGGGGAGGCAAATCAAAACTGGCGGACTGTTTCCAGTCGATATACCAGGTACAATATATGGGAAACAAATTACCTAGACTAGTAACTACTTCTAGGATTTTTGTGGAATTTTTAAAGTCTTCTTTACTGAGATTATGTTGCATTTACTTAATAATAAATATATAAACCTTTCTTCTTTCCATTTTTGCAATGCATCTTGATTAGTTGATAATTATTAAAATTGAACATCACTGTCGAATAAAGGGCAAGAAAATCACTATGCTCTAGAAAGTAATGTAATAACCTGAAGTTTTCAATGCATTTTTCAACCATGCATGTTCCTGTAACAAAAATTAGATAAGTTGGAAGTGACCTTTCACGTCCTTTAATTTGTATCAAGCATGTATTTTGTGCACAACCAAACTTTCTTGTAACTAGCTTAAATCATGTCAAACGATCAAAAAGTCAAATGAAAACAATAAAAACAGTCGTCGGCTTTAAGTCTTTTCAACGTTTTCCCTAATCAGTAACAAGATTTTATTATTGATTTATAACCGGAACAAGAAATTAGGCTTGAGCACAAAATCCATGCTTGAGCATGAGAACGGTTTCATGTATACGGGCCCTGATCACACTCTAGATTAAGCTTTCATTTTATTAATATAAATGAAATGTTCCTTAATACAAGGAAGACATCAAATATGTCTTGGGTTTTCCAGTGAACTTTCCTCTCTAAGTATATCGGCGGTTTTTTGGGTTTTTCTTTAAATGTCAATCAGATCATAATTTTTATATTATACTGAAATCATTTCCCTGGCAGCAAATTAGCCAATATTCGTGTTATTGTTATTACAAAATAAGTCCACAATTTATTATCACAAAGTATCCACTATGTCTGTAACTAAATGATTAAAGTTTGAAGTATCATGATTTCGTTATACCATCAATGTGAATGTCAATAGCAAGGAAGTTCTCGTTCAAATCTTTCTTTTCTTCATGCACATAATTACGAAATCTTAAGAACAACAGTACGATATTATAACAGATTTGAAAAAACACAGAAAATATTATCATCCCACATATTTTGATGATATTTATTATATCTTGGGTGAAATAAGTATCCTCAATATTGTAAATATGCAGCATTTTGTCTCTAAGGTAAAGAAAAATGGTTTTCTTCTTAAAGATATCGCGAATCCATAATATATAGGTGAAATGTCCAAGTATGCTAAAAAGGGGCGAATTGAAAGAATATCTGTCTCATCAAGAAAGCCCGAGTACCAAACAGCACCAACATGACAAACATTGTGACGCGTTTAATACGTCCATTGTTTGTGTATAAAGTAAACCTTTGATATTACATGACTCGTCGGTCATTTGATCAACCTGAAAGTAAAGTCCCGTGAGGGACAAATCATGCCAGAAGTTAAGAATGAAACTATAAACAAAGAAATAGATAAATTCATTAAATCCGTACATTACCAGATACAGATGTAGATATCAATGGACCCTCCAGCCAAAACCAACAGATCAATTCCGCAACGAGATGTTGATTGTTTAAGATAATGTTGTTAACATCAAAATACCAGAGCAGAACACAAAAATAGTCAGTTCAATGTGAAATGGGCATATGAACATACATTGATACTGTGTAAAGATTAATATGTGTCATTGTACAGTGTCCTTATGACGTCAGTGACTGTAAAACAAGGATTCCGTTCTGTCTGGGTCACAAACAAATTGTTGTTACTTAAATTACTACTCAACCTTCTATCGCGCATTTCAGCAGCAGCAGTCAGGAACAGATAACAATGATACGGCTGTGATCCATTAATACATAACAAGGGGTAATAATACATCCATACCTACTAATTAATATTACAGCAACCATGTGGAGTAAGTGTCGTTCGCCGATATTTTAATATATGGTACGCTATTGTAACATGAATCTCCTTTTCAAAGAGTTCCACAATAAGAAGTATGTCAAAAATATTTTTGTGAATGAACACATATTCCCGAGATCGGATAGTTTAGTGATAGTGAAGAGTATATCAAAACCACAACCACAACCAAAATGTCTGACGATGGTGACAGATCGTCATAACTACGTACAATTATCACAGACCGTAACCTTGGATTGGTTGGATGATTTACAACACATTGTTATGATACACAAACGTATACATTGATAAACTTAATAATGATACTTATGTTGTAGATAGTGTAAAGATAGGAAAACCAACCAGTTCACACCACAGGTATAATACTTTGGATAACATGTTACTTTGTTACCTGTCATTTTTGCGCCAATGACAAATGCTATTTAAAAATTACTTTCAAAATTCTGCTGACATTCAAAATGGTCAATCCTATGTGATAAACGCGATATGTAAAAAAAAAAAAAAAGGAAATTCGATAAAACCAAAAGAATAACATAAGAGTAACCGTAAAACAGTTATTCGAAATCAAGGCTACACATAAAGGAAATATGTGCATGGGGACACTTGAAAAAGTACAAAGATAATAAGACCAGATGTTTCTCCAATCATTATTCAAACACAAACAATGTACGAATATAGTCTACATATTAATATATACGTACAAATGTACAATATACGAATAGATACAACACAACACGACATACTTTAAATATATTTATATACAATGTTTATATATATACTTTAAATATATTTATATACAATGTTTATATATATACTTTAAATATATTTATATACAATGTTATATATATACTTTAAATATATTTATATACAATGTTTATATATATACTTTAGATATATTTATATACATTGTTAAATATGTAAGAGAGAACTGTAAGGTTTGAGGTGTGCCGAGTGAATCTGTGATCAGAATACTAGTAGAGTGTCGTGGGCCAGAACTGGCTTCCCAACCTTGATATACACACTGTATCCCGGAATACCAGACCTGTGATTAGTGTATAAAAAGTATCTGCTGTCTAAGTGGCTACGGTGCCAACCATTATGGGATATTGATGAGCTGAGGTTTGATTACGTGTCGTCTAGTTACTGCCAGCAACGTCCTGGTAAAATAAACAGTCACTTCTACTTCAACCCTAGGCATAAATGTTGGGTTTCTCGAGGGCTCCATTTGTTACGTCGCTATGCGACCCGTGTCTCTTGCTGTTGCCCCATCACGGGGTACATACATACTCAATGTCAGGTGGCACTTATTGCTGGCTCCTGGGCCACGTGGGCCAAATACGTCAATACAAGTGAATGCGACAAACGGCAAGACTGGTGGCATTCTTATCATTGCAGCCCTTGGTAGTAATGGGTAGTGACGTTGACAAAATTAATGTGCTCTCTCCTTCAGACAGCCAACATACACACGGGTTACTTTACAAAAGACGAACATTATTGGATGAAGGGTGTCACGTGGTGTGCTAATATGAGTGATTGCATATTTTCGCTAGACGAAAAATCTTCTTTTTGTATATATGATCAATGCTCTTTTTCTCTGGTTACGTAGACCAGTGCCGTCCACCAGGAACTATTCTTGATTTTGACCTACTTTTCAAATAGAGCCAGTAAATCAATGACGTGTGATATCTTCCTAGACATTTATCTTGATAGATATAAAGAGAAATAACACAATTATCATAAGCTAAATATAATAATATTTTTGGTTTTATTTGATGGTCTCAGCCATAGTCTGTTTTGGCAAAGCGAATGTGTGAGTCTGTGTTCCAGGACCGCCATAAACTAACTACATGTGTAAGTCAACAGAATAATAAAACCAGGATACACAACTTGCAATGCTTCCAAAATATATCTGGAGCTAAAAACACGAGATATTCAGTACGTATATATCGATCACGGTCTAAGCTTACATTAAAACAGACTATCAAGTATCTAATTCCAGGTATTTCAATCTTAGGGGTAATTCCTAGAATGAAATTACAGCCTTAATTATCTAATCTGGCCTCACCCTTTCTTTTATGTATATATACAGCAAATATTTCAATGGAAATTCACTAAGGGGTATAACAGTAGTGTGGTTTATGCTGTGATAGGGATCGTACAGCCAGCTCTACTTTCGTTTTATGGTCTAATTCGTTGATAAATATAATCAATGTTTACGTTGTCTGTTGAAGAACGAAATTTGGGTGTCACTTTTGGTATCGTCAGCGCATCTAGATACCAATATAGAATGTAAATCACTGTAGTGTTATTGTATAACCATTACTTCATACGCTAATTTCATATAATAAGTACAATAGCTTGCTGTGTTGTGAAAGTCATGATTGTTTCTGTATTTCGTTAACAATCTCAAATAGGTTTAAAAGTACCTTTTTAATAGCTCAATACTGATATATCATTTA